CATTGGAGCCGGAGACCCAGTGCTTGTTCGTGGTGCCACAGACGTCTTGTTCCGGATTCAGCTTGGCCGACATGTTCCTCATGTTGGGAAAGCAGCTCATCCAGCCGAAAGCATCATTGTGGAAAGCATCTTCAATGGCACGCACCATGCTTTTGGCTTTGGCATCGGTTTCCAGGTCCTTGCTGTAAACCAAGATGAAGTCGATCTCGCTCATGTTCGATTTCGTGGTGCACGGAATGGCACCGGCCTTATCCCACTTCGGGATGCTATCCATCAGCAGCAGCAGCTCTTCCGCCGTCGAGAAGGCCCGGACGACGGCCAAGTGCTCGTGTCCTGTGGGAATGGCGTCCTTCAAGTGCCCCTGGTGATCGAACACGGCCACTCCGAGCATCACATGTTCGTCATCCAAATTCTCGAACAAGTTCTTGCCGTAGGCGGCGTGGCGGATGTAAGCCGGGAACTCGAAGCTGGTGTTCAGAGAAGTGTTGGCGTAGTTGCCCAGCAGCATGGAATCCCAGTTGTAGGTTTGGCTGTTGCCCCCCCCGCAGCTGCCCAGGCAGCTGCAAACTGGCGTACCACCTTCCGCTATGCGGCCAATGCGTGCGGTACTGGGGCCCTCAAGATACCCACTGCTGGGTCACTTGGGCCCTATATATATATACATATACATATATATACATATATATATATATATATCCCCTAATCCCGAACCGCATGGCCCTAAACCCTGAACTGTGGGGTTCGAGAATGTTTTGTTTGGCGGAGGACGGCCCTAATCAGCTGGACCCGCCGCCCAAGGACTGGGAATCTGTGAGGGTTTCACTTAGGAACCCAAAAAGGACATATGCATAAGCATTTTATAGGGTTTAGGGTTTAGGGTTTAGGGTTTAGGGGATATCCCTACCTTATTGGGCTTCAGTATAAGGGGGTTTATATGGGATATCCCTATCCTAAGTTTTGCTTATGTGCTTTTTTGGGGGCCTTATTCACTCGGGTTCCAGCAGGGTTCCATAAGGCCTCGACTCGGGCGCGAAAGGGTTCTATCAGGGTTCTAGATGCGTTCCATAAGGGTTCTAGAGCTCTAGTTTAGCTGGATGATGACCCTAAACCCCTAGGCCCTAGGCCCTTGACTTTTAAACCCTAAACCCCCAACTATGTTGGTTTCGGAAGCACATCGGGTCATGGGGGCTCTTACAGGAGTTTCGGAAAGACCTTCGGGGCAGGGAACCTCTGCAGAACCACGGTGAAAATTTCCCAGGCCGGGTGCAGAGCCGACGTTCCAAATGACCGCAAGCGGACTTTGGCTCCGGATGCTGAGGTTTGGAGTGTTTAGGGCGTTTAGGGCTTTAGGGTTTAATATAGGGGCCTGGTCAATTACCTACCCCAGAACCCCACCCTAAACCCTAAACCCTAAAACCCTAAACCCCAAAACCCCATTCTAGTTATGAAAGCCTTTAAATAAAGGGCCCGATGCCTTGAACACGAGAACGCCGGGTTCGGGATCCTTCACAGAAAGCCACCTCTGCAGGAAGGTCTGCTCCTGATCTTCGTCCGGCAAACGCAGAACCTCGGTTTAGGGTTCGGGTTTCGGGTTTCGGGTTTAGGGTTTAGGGTTTAGGGTTTAGGGTTTAGGGTTCAAGGTCGAGAGTGGAAGGTCTCGGAGCAGAGATTCCTAGCATTTTCTGTGCCTGTCCTGATCTATGGCAAGGCTTTGCAGCTTTTGGGTTTTTGGGCTTTCAGAGTGCTAGGCTGCATGTCCGGGCTTCCCTAGACCCTACACCCTAAAACCTAAAACCTAAACCCTAAACCCTAAAACCTAAACCCTAAAACCTAAACCCTAAACCCTAAACTCTAAACCCTAAACACTGAGCCCTAAACCCTAAACCCTAAACTGAAGCCATGCATAGCAGGCTTGATTTTCGGCAGGATCCCAGTCGTGTGGCGAAGTTAGCACAGCCCTCTGGCCCGGATGTTCGGGGCGGCGAGTTGGGGTTTGCGTCTGTTTCGAAAGCGCGCAATACAATAATGTACATTAGTATGCTATACTACACTGTGACATACTATAAAATATGCACTAGACCATGTATGTTGTGTCTTGGCTTTGGTTTTGTTTCGGCACCTTTGCTCCCGCCAGAAGTATTAGAAAAGAGGAGAGCCTGTGTTAGACTGTTGGCCCTTGTGGCCCGCGCACGGACCTCTGAACACTAAACCAGAGCCCAAAACCCAGAGCCCTAAACCCCAAGCAACAGGGTTGGAGATCCGTCCAGCGACATGGATGACTGAAAGACGACGGGTTCGATCAGTTTGAGTGGCCGATAAAGTGGCAGATTACTCCTCCTCCTAGCTCACGTAGCCTTGGCATACTGAGAGGCTTAGAGGATGGGCAGATGCGAAGACGAGTTCAAACAAACACAAGTCCTAAACCCCTAAACCCTAAACCCTAAACCCCAAGCATCAAGCCCAGGAGTGTGGTTTTCCTGCTCACATCCCTGGCTGCTGCGGTCTCCTACAGCTGCGGCGATCGGCACAAGGTCACTGCTGCGATCATAATCACGCGCCGTTCAGGGTCTGGGCACGTTTGCCACTGTTCGTCCTCTTTTCTCGCTGCTGCAGCTTTTCAATTCTCCCTAAGCCCTACCCAGAGGCCAAATAGTAGTTCCTTTTGGGGGTTACCTTATAGGAGTCTATATATGAACCCCAACAAGGAGCTACTTTAGGGCCTATGGGTAAAACCGCATTCTGTCAGAGTTTTCATGGCTATGGTCTGCAAGGGCCAGGAGACCTGGTCTACGGGTCCTAGGCGCTGAATCGACCCGACAGCTTGCTTGGAGGTTCATGGGACTTAGTAAGTAAGGTTATATGTCCCTTAATTGGGGTTATAAGTAGAGTTACCCTACTTCTAACCCTACTTACTAACGTTCTTGGGAGCTGTAAGGCTGCTTTGCTTTAGGCGACAGCCGCATGGTCCTAAGGCCGAAACCCTGAACTCTGTATCCAAACCCCAAACCCTACACCCCGAGGCCATGATTCTGATCACGGTCGTGGTCTTCGTGTGCTTGCTGAATACGTTCGGTGCAGCTCGCAGACAACTTGGGTGAAGGGCTTACTTGGAGTTTCAGGTGCCTTTCTCCAAGCCCGAAGTTTTCTTAAGCCTGAAGCTTGATGTCTCAGCGTTTCATGCCAGGGCCGTGGCAGGGTCGGGCTCTGCCGGTCGAGAGCTTGCAGTCAGTTCTCTTTGCGGTGACGAGCCTTTATTAGAGTATTCTCGGGCTACGTGGGTGCCGAGACAACCCCAGTATGTGCAATCAGTTTGCCGTGGCTTCCCTCCGTGCTGAAGTCACCTGTCTATTTCTTACTTTTGGGCTTTCAGGGAGAGTACGTCCTTTTTTGGTAAGTGTCGCAAGCCGAACCTAACTGTACTGGCTGTGTTACATCCTGAGCCGATAAACTCAAGCAGAAGGTCGCCACTGGTCGTAGTAGTAGGTTCTAGCAACAGTTTGAGGAACTTAAACCCTAAACCCTAAACCCTAAACCCTAAACCCTTGAAGTTGCCGTAATGGGGATCTACAGCGGGTGCTTGCATAAGCTCTGATTTGACCCTGCGCTCAGGAGTACACCAGCCAAGATGCTGGCTCGGCCCTCTGCAAGATGGCTCCCAGCAGGACGCACTCCGAGAATATTGATTGCCCTAAACCCTAAACCCTAAACCCTAAACCCTAAACCCTAAACAGCAGCAGCAGCTGCAGCAGTGGTGTTGATAGTGGAAGTGGTAGTGGTAATGGAAGCGGCAGTGATGGTGGTTGTGGAGTGGCAGTGCTGGAGGTGGTGGTGGTGGTGGTGGTCATCGTCGTCGTCGTAGTAACATCGTAGTAGTAGTCGCAGGATTAGAAAGTGTAGAGACAGTAGCAGTAGAAGGAGTAGGAGTAGGAGTAGGAGCAGGAGCAGGAGTAGGAGTAGCAGCAGCAGGGGGAGGAGGAGGAACAGCAGCAGCAGCGGCAGTAGTGACTTCGTGGTCCCTAAACCCAAAACCTTAAACCTTAGTAATATTGAACATTTGGTAGTGGTCGTCTTCTTTCTGTTACATCTACTCGGGCTGAGACCTTCCGGTCCAGGGAAGCTCGTGGTATTATTTTGCAAAGCCCTAAACAACCCCAAAGCCTAGATTGTGAAGACTCTCGAGTCAAACTGGTTTCAGGGCAAGCTTCAGACTAGAAGGGCCATCGCATGACTTGCAAAGCTCGAAAGCAGCACCTGGCATCGGCAGCTTCACGTTCTGGGTTGTGCGTGTCAAGGACAACTTGCATCAGAGACGGGCGGGAAGCACTGGTGGATGTGCCTAGTTTGAAATCGGGTTGTGCTGCCTTCAGATGTCCTATGTCCTAAGAATGCATCGAAAATCGTCCCGTTGTGCATCAGCAGCAGTGTTGCTTCACTTCCGCAAACACTGCGACCCCCAACCAACCGTGTAGCGGAGACGCCAAGGCACACGACCTGGTCGTGGGTGATGTGGTGTTAGTCAAAATGGGCGACGTAGCCGGGAGCTCGGGATTCCGAAACTCCACTGTAGCCTGATCTGTTAGAGCCTGTCGGGCATTCCGTCGGGCCTGAGATCCGATTTTGGCAGGAGCATACACTTGCACGATTTCTTGCTGCTGCTGCTGCTGCTGCCGCTCGTACTCCTCCTCGTCCTCCTTTTGGTCCTCTATACTACTACTACAACAACTACTACTACCACTACGACTACGGCGACTACTACTACTGCTGCTGCTGCTACTACTACTACTACTACTACAACTACTACTACTACTACCACTACGACTACGACGACTACTACTACTACTACTACTCCTACTCCTACTCTGCTCTTACTCCTTCTACTACTACTGCTGCTGTCACTACGACGACGACTACTACTACTCAGGCTAAGACTACTGCGACGA